CTTGATTTTTTTTTAGTAAAACAAAAATTATGTAACTTATTTCGTATACAGAAATATGATTTCATCTGTAATATTCAGTCTTCTAATTTAATTCATTATTTTAAAAAATTAAAGAACTAAACTTTCTATTTTGATAAACTTTGAATAACTCTAGATTTCTTGTTTGTCTATTTTATTCGAAACTTGTACCCATTAAAAACAGAGTATTTACTTAAAAATTACAAGAGATTAATTTTAATATATATCATGACATTAACTTTAAAATTGAATCCGGGAACGAAGTTTCTTCTTTTCTGTGTTTTTTAATTAGTTTTATTGAAATGGTGTATTTATTGAAGTTAAAATGTACTTTCTTGCAATTGTTTTTGGCTAACCACATTCCTAGATTTTTTTTAAAATTATATTCAGTGTTCATGTATTAAAATGCTACCCATTTCTTTCATTTGTGAATCTTCAAATCGTATAAATGAAATTTAATCCAGACTGTGACCAGTTAACTACAGTAACATAAATTTCAATAATGTCTGACATAAGAAAACCAAAACTTTCATTCTCACATATATAATCTTTAGACTCAAAGAGTTCATGGGATATTAAAAAAATAGTTAAAAATGATTTTATAAAAAAATTTACTAAACCATCATTAGTGTCTTAAACTTTTTAATACATTGATTTTTACTATATTATATGAATTAATTACAAAATGATTCCGCTAATATATTCAATTTAAGTGGAGATTTTTCAAGTTATGTAAAGATCTGTTATTAGTAGTATTTTAATAATGAACATTTGGTGTTAGTTCCTGCTAACCAATCTTAGAAAAAATGAATTATGAGTGAGTCAAAGATTTTTTTTTCTTTCTGATATTCTTAAAAATACCAAATTCATTTAAGAAATTATTTTAAGACATATAAATATTTTCAATAAAAATTATTAAGAGATTAATATAAAATACAATATAATTTTAACCTAGAATAGGAAAACAATTCTGCTGACACCACACAAAATTCATTTTTCCAGAACAATCAGAGAAATACTTATTCCAAATATAAGTTAAATTTATTTTAGGTATTGGAATTTCATGATACATTTGTTTGAAAATGTATCAAAACAGAAAACTAATTTCGATTCAGATTGTCAGGAATGAAATACAATTCGAGTAAAATATTTTGATTTTTTGAAAATTTTATGTATATCCTGTAAGAAGTAGAACACATACCACGTATTTTCTTAAAAATAAAAAAAAATTGAAGTAAAAGACAAAATAACGAATAACAAACTAACACGAATTGATTCATTTCATATTTAAGTGAAGAATTAAAATACTAAGTGAAAAATAACGAGAAGGACGAAAAACTATATCCATTTTGAATTAGACAGGCATGTAATGTAACCTGACTTTACAGATGAATTAGACAGGCATGTAATGACAGATCTTTACATAGCCATGTAATGTATGAGTCAGTAATCAATCCGCTTTTCTTGGATTGACAAAATACACTTGCCCACTACCACTGTATTTCAATTAAATTCACACCTTAATATCCTCTAAAAATCTATCATTATTTATTTAATTCGTAAAAATACTTACATTCCTTTTGTTAATAATCCAAATTATACATTAATACGTGTTGTGAACGTAACAATATTCAATCTCCCAAGTCAAAATCGATTTTGCTTAAACTCAAGTTAGATCATTATTTTAATTTCGCAGCTTGGAGTTAGTCCACCGCTGTTGCTCAAATCAGAAATATAGGTAAGCTTTAAAATTAGAATTAAAGCGAATGTAGAGGGAAAGGTTAAGCAGGTCATCCCCAATGGTCAAGAGAAGCAAACGATTGTATTGATCGAAATTTGCGCATGTATTTTAATACATTCGACGTATTACGCTAAGATAAATTAGTAGAATCAATAACTTTAAAGGCAGTCTATTAGGGAAACATTCATTAATCCATGATTTAAATTCTGTTTATTTAACTTAGAACTGAGAGAATTTTATGGAATTTTGTTTAATGTTTTCTATTCATTTCGCAATTCTTTAGAATCTTTTTATTACTCATTTTATAGTTTGGAGGATGAGTTTTGTTTTAAATTTATTGAGTTTAGTTTCTTGAAACAGAAACCTTAAATAAAACTATAGTTTGATGAGATCGGTTTTTCGTTTGCTCCATTTATTTCGTTTGAAGATTGAATTTAAGTATGTTGAAGAAAATAAGAATTTCGTATCAGAATTTGTTACATATACTCTCGTGTGCAAATTTAGAAAATAAGCATATTATGTCGAATTTCTGAAAAATTTAAGAAATTCGACTTAATGTGCTAAAAGATTTTAATAAAATTTGGTATAAATACGCATTTAAAACAGAGAATAAGATGTACCCTTCAAAATTTAGTTTATGTACGCATGATTATTAATAAAGCTAACAGTCCAGGGTTGTCCAAAATCTATGTCGCGATATCGAACGGAAAATAAGTCTAATATAAGATATGGTTCTATCACAGCCACACAGGTCGCACAGCGTTAAGGCATGCTGTGTTGGAGGTGACAATTTTTTAGCTCCGGGTCGGCTTTCGGATGGGGACTGCGAAATGTATTTACTCTCCCAAGAGATTTCCAAACATGCTCGATAAGGTTAAGGTCAGTAGATATAGCTGGTTAATCTATGTGGGAAATATCCTTACTTTCCATACAATCGTCGCCCAGCTGAGAACTATGTGGGTGAGCGTTGACGTTCATTAACGTGAACCCAGGACCCACTGCGTCCTTGAACAATCGAATAAATATCTCTAAGATCTTCTCTATAGATCCTCACCTCCACCATCGTAATGATCCTTTTCCCTGATGAGGAAGAAATAGATCATGTCCCAGGCTCAGAAAATATTCAAATACTCCTTGAATTAATGCCCAGCCTTAATCTGACTCAAATATTATAAGCACGGTTCTCCATGGAATTCTAGTCCAAGGCACATGTTTTCTGTACCATGCTAGACACTCTCTCTTGTGTGCTGTTGCGAGCGGGACGCAAACAATGGGTCTTCCGGCCTACAGCTCTCTCTCATGTTGCCCTCAGTTAATTGTAGTCCGTGAATCTCGGGTTCCATACAACTCACGAGAGCTGTGAAGCTGTGTCACTCCTGTGTCGCCGGGCTGAAATTGGCAAATAATGTTCCTCATTCGTCTTTGGTCTTGGTTGACCTTGTTCAGGTGTTTTTTATATGGATTCAGTATTCTGATTTCCACAAACTGCAGACAACATTAGGCGTTACATTTATTGAACTCTATAGCCACTTGTGTTAGTAATTGTTCTGCGTCCAACCTGTCGTCTATTCTCCATCTCATTCCGTCATCTTACGTTCGTGGCTACACATTTTACCTGATACCTTACAAAATTTAATCAGCTCTTGTGAGAAACATGGCGAATGTCGAGGAGGAGTACGAATACACAAATCGGTGACAAGACTTCGTGCGCATATATCCTATCCAAATCCACGGCTCACCAAACACGCTCAAGTTCGCCTGCGTATTTGATTCTGAATAATTGCAAAATTCTACGGCGGCATAATTAGTACCTTTAATTCAATATGTTTTGTAAAAATAAACATAATTTGAAAATTCTCTTAATTTTTCACACGAGTTTATTTTAAAGACACAATTAAAAATCATAAAATATTATTAATTTTACTATTTAAGAGTATATTTTTCTCATTAATAATAAAAACAAATCATAAGTCCTATTTAATAGAAATAGAACTGAAAGGGTCATAAGATGTGGTACATATTTCGTTTCCAGTGACTCAGACCAGTTGTTGCGAATGATCCAGGACAATTAAATAACTGAAACATCAATATTTATCTATCATATTTAATATAGTATTGTGTATAAGAATATCACTAGTTCAAATATGACAAAAATCAAAAAGAAAATTAGTTCAAAGATTTATAAAAATCAAAAATAATAGCTCAAGGATAGCTGATATTTTTTAAAAAATAATAGCTGAAGAGATACGGCTCATGTCAGAAAGTTATGCTAATAAAGAACATAGTGACATATAACAACTACCTAATAATGTCGTAAGCATCAGTTGAAGTAAGATTCGATCATTCAGGAAACGACCACAGTGAGCTCGGGTGAGTTGCGTTACAAAAATAACGAATTTACTGATTCAAGATGTCTTCTAATCATCCAATATGAACCTGGGAAGTCTCGATCTTTGACGAAGAGAAGGTCCAGTAGGTAAATTAAATTGGACAGTTGGCAGAGGATAGTTGTCGGATCGCCAAGGCAAACAATCCTTTTCCTCTTCTGACATTCATTTTAATGGCTACACGGGTATAAATACCAATACCACAGATGCGTTGTAGAACTCTCGCAATTTTCATGTCTGCGTATGGAGAAATAAGTTATCCTAACGTGTCGCTTTATAGCAAAGTGAAAATGTTTCAATTGGTACGTGAAGGGGGGCCTCTCAGAACTAATCCTGAATATAAAATACAGAATATTCTGTAATTTAGGATAAAGTTCATTTTCATGCTTATTTGGCTTTAGAAGATTTAATTTTAAAAATGAAACAGAAAATATTTCTGAAATTATGATAACATCTCTTCTTTTGATTATATCTGGAGTCTGATAAATTCCCATACTGACGATTTGTTAATTTATTATACAAAAACAAAAAAAAAACTATTCATGATTGTTTTACTCTAATGGTGAAAAGCATTTCTAACATAATGCAAGAAACAAATTTTATACTTACATTTACCACGAATGCTCAAAATATTCGCTTCTTTCTCGGAAGCAAAGTTGAGCTCGTTTGCGCATAGTTTAAAAAACGCACTTCGAGACACTGGGAGTGACTTCCAGGATCCTTTGAGTTTTGTTGCAATTTTAAGATCATCTATTGTTTGAAGACATTGTTGGCACTGTGGGGATGTTAGGAGAAGGGGTGCCAGCTCTGGTGTTGTCCTCATCACTTGACCGAGGTTCAAATTACGAGGTCTATTGCTTCTTGATGTCTGCATTATCAACTGTCGATGGCAGGTCATGTGCCTTCTATGGTCGTCACGGGTGACAGGAAATACACGTTCGATTCCGAAGAAGGAGCCTGCGAAACAGCTACCACATCCAAGGAAAGCAGTAGGCACGCAAATTACCGATCCCAGCTTGGGGAAGTAGTGACGAAGAATAACGGTACGGGACTCATTCGAGACCTCGTGATCGGAATGATCGCAAGGTTATAAGTGCTAGAAAGTATCAATTGGAGGGAAAGTTTGGTGTCAGCAGCTGCATTAATTCCAACTCCTATTGTGTAAGCTAAATTTGTAATGGTTGAAAAGCTCTTGTCGGATCTCAGCTAGGGGCCGAGAGTCGGCCAAAGGGCTTTAACCTTTCCATTTCCCGGCGTGTTGCTGGTTTCTTGAGGGTGATCTTCTCTGGTTGTGTCTAGAGTTCGGCCAGTTTACCTTGAAAAAAAAATGAAGATTTAATAGAATGGGACCTCAGTTCTATTGCGATGGTTTTCGAACTCCATGTAAAGATTAATAGGAACTGACGGGGGCATTCGTATGGCAGTGCTAGAGGGGTGAAATTCTTGGACAGTAGCACGGAAAATGACTGTGAAAGTATTTACCAAGAATGTTTTTATTGACTAAAAAAGAAAGTCGGAGGTTCAAAGGTGGTCAGATATTGCCCTAGTTTTGACCGTAAACTACGCCAGCCAGCAATTCGGATGTGTTTCAGAAACGACACTCCGGGCAGCTTCCGGAAATCTAGAGCTCTTGTGCTCCGGGAGAAGTATGACTGCAAAGCTAAAACTTAAAAGAATTGACGAAATGGCATCTCCAGGGTAGAATCCTGAGATCTTTCTTGATTCTGTGGATGGTGGAGCATGACCGGTTTCAGTTCGTGGGCATAACTTGTCTGATTAATTTTTTCTGCTTCTTGTCCGTTGCTCCTCGTGTTGCTTCTTGTGCGACGTTAATAAACCAAACCGATACGAAAATTGTTTGTTTGGTTTATTTCCATAACCGTTTTCTTTACGCAACCCCTCAGAAAAAGTCAGGAATACTAAGATTAGGAGAATAAAGTGGAGAACAATATCTTAAGATGAGTCAATCGTTGTAAAATACCTAGCATTTTGCCCATGGTTTCCTTACTCGTATGACACTTTCTTCTTTGAACCATCATTTCTTTGTTCTTAGCAATTCCTTATTTTTTTCTGAGGGAACAAGTTTTGTGAAAACAACCTTAAAACAATAAATAACTTGAAAATTACCTTTCTCAAAAGATGCAAAAAGTTCTATCAAAGATCTTGCAACGCGTTGCTTAAAATATGTGTAAGTAAATTCCTCTTTGTCTCTCAAAAAGGGGAGAACATTTAGAATATTTGTCGTAAATATAGGCTGAATTTTTTATATCTTACGTTAAAAATACATCTCACCTTTAGCATAAAAATAATTGTTTAAAAGTTTGTTGTTTTGTATAGTAAATTTAGGAATTGGGAGTGCAGGAACTTTTTAAGACACCCAAAAAAAGGCTTTCACTGAGACATTCCACCTACCAAACCAGACACTTTGACCCTTAATATGAGTTAAATACATAAACTATTCAAAGAGTCATGGACAATGGAGTGGTTCCTTAAATAGAGGTGTCTCTAAGAAGCAGTGCTTCTGAATATATTTTTCAAATAACCTAACACATTAATCATATTCTGAATTACAATTAGAGATTTTTAGGCGAAATTATTGTGACATAAAATTATGAATTCTGAATGACTGAAATATTTTACAAAAGAAATTTTGCTTCTTTCAACTCTTAAATACTATTTTGCGTGATATTAAATTGTCTTTCTATTTCAATTACATTAGCAAAGATAAAAAAAAAAAAAAAAGAAGAAGAAGAAAAATCGTAACCTGAAAATGGAGAATGGCGTGTTTGAAACCTCTTTAATTCACTTTCATTTTCGTGAGAAGTTGTTTTAAAAATTTATTGAATTATTTCTGTTTCGCCAAATGTCTTATCAAATCACTTTTTTTGTTTGACACCTGAAAGAAAATATTTATAAAGATATTAATTTCTATAATTTTAAAATTTTTACTATCTATTGGAAGCTTATATAATAGCAATTATTACATAGAAATATTTTAATAACAATCTCTTACGATAGTATACTACTTTGAATATTATAATTGCTAATATACTTTTATAATATTGGACTAAAATAGCTGATAACACATTTCTAAAAGATATTAGAATACTGCAAATAATACACCTGCACAATATTAGAATATTTTAGCTGATAATACACATGACTAAAATATTAGTATTTCGCCCTTTCCATGAAATTTGAATTTAAATATTATTGATTTATTATATAATGATAAGTATAAATGCAAAAGTCCTAATTATTATGCGAGTAACCTTACTGAAAAAAATGGTATTTTAATCTTCTCTCTAATAAAACCTTGTTCTGTGACAACTTCTAAAAAAAGTTATAATGGAATCTCTTTTCCTTTTTTTTGTTATCAATGTAACAAATTAATAAAAGCAAAGAATATATATATATATATATATATATATATATATATATATAAATGTGTGTGTGTGTGTGTGTATTATGGAATATTTTTTATGGAATAGAAAGAAGAATTATAGAAATGCAAATAATTACAATTCATAGCAATATCTAAATTGTTTGTTGTTTGATTCCGAAAGATAACAGGAAAGAAGTAAAACTTAGAAGAAATAATATTTGAAAATTTCTAATCAGATATGATGACCTTAATCTTATAATTCTAAGTACTTTCATCTTACTTTCCATTATTTCTTGAATTCATGGTTGCATATAATTGATTAGTTTTTGATTATATTAAGATTACTCCAAGAAACAACATGAAAGTTATTGTCTACTGACCTCACAATTCTGAATCATGGTCAAGTGACGAAAATGATACCTGAGCTATCACCCGTTTCTCATAGCTTCCACACCAACGTACCTTGAGAACATTCAGTCACGACAGATTTAACGTATTAAAAGTATTATTCGTATATGAAGTGAAAGTTTGAACCCTGATTTCTATGTTCGATGAGCATGGAAATAAGCTGCGGTAAATGTCATTTAGAGGACATATTATGCCATATTAATCATACAATTTTGTTATTAATCAATTGCTTATTTATAAATCAAATACAGAGTTTAAATTTACTTCAAACAGTTACAGCATTTATTTTTATTATTGTTACTTTTAAGCATTTGATTTTGAAATTTCTTTTGCGTTTTTCTTCAAACTCCTCACCAATGTCATTAAAAATATTTTTTAACATTTATTGATATTTTGTACCAGTAATTGTTTCATAAAAACTATATATATATATATATATATATATATATATATATATA